ACTTGGTGAAGATATTCAGAAGATTTGTAACACTTACACTGAATTCTGTATCGGTGCAATACCACAAAGCAAAGAGGTGTTGTGCTTCTTGCTGGCTTCTAGTGCTAACATTTCCCCGTATTCTCCCTTGAGGTGATAAGCAGATTGGTCTTTCTTACTGTGTTTAGACAGCCTGTTATTTACTGCTTTTGTCACCAAGTGACTCTGGGCCGCTAAACCCTCTTGAATTTGTTTCTACTCTGTGACTTTCCTGGTTTTTCTGGCTCCTTAGTTAAACACCAAGGAGCGGGATGTAGTATGCTTCAGGCATTTTCCTTACTTCCCAATAAACATTTTACCTGTGCAGTCTTAGTAACCAACTCTGTTCCGGTTATTTATATTCATACAACTGTAAGTAACTGCCTGGACCATCAAGGGTTTCAACTACGTAGTGTATGTTTTCTGTAATGCAAGTAGATTTAAAGCAGTTTTTTGAGGGATTCAGAAGAGTGTCCTGTGAAAAGGACTCCTTTTCTACTAATGGTGGGCTAATGACATTCTTTTTGTGATGAGCATTAAATGAGATACAGTGAATGTGAAAGCTCCTAGCAGAGTCCCTGGAATGCTCCATGAATGTTACTTTTCTATGACTTTCCTAACCTCAGGCTATGTATTGGAAGATTGCTATGGAAGGGAAGGTGTAGAATCGGCAAATTGGGAAATTTGAGAAGTCGGAGTGAGGGCGATTGGCCCAAAGCCAACGTCATCGCCTTTCTTCTTTATAACTGTGATGTTCTTCTTGAGTTCTGAAGTGGTGATGGTGAACTAAAATAGCAGAGAGCACACAGATTAGATAACTAACATTTCTCTCATGCTGATTTGATAATGTAAACTACCATTATTATAAGAGTATGAAACCACACCAGCTGCCTTCATCCTTGGCCCTTAGCTTCTGCCTAAGCCTTTCCTATCCTGGAGCCCAACTTCTCCCCACTCTCTTCTATTTTTAAGCTCTTATTAGTCTATAGTTGATGGAAGGGACCTTACCACCTTTTGCAAATCAATGATAAATTTCATTTATAAGAAGTGAGAGGTGATGCCCTTGTTAAATGTTTATTGTTTCGGGCCTTGATAAAATGTACTATAGCTCTGTGCTTTTTGCATGCAGATGGGTCAATGGCTCATTGGTGTGAACTCTGCCTGGCCACTTCATTGTGTCCCTGAGATAACAGGAGAAAGGAACGTATTTTAATATAAAGTAAACCCAGTGGAGCTTAAACCCTAAGGATCTGGAAGTCACTTTAACTTTCAAGTGAAATTATTTGCCTGGAAGCTCTCAGCAAAATGACCTATTTTCAATATCAAATTCTTATTCTCTTTACCATATATTATATAGTTATTGGATCTCCTCAGTGGATCAGGAGCATTTTATAAAAATAAAAATAAATGGTAACTCTTGAGATGCTTGCCTTAATGTTCCATACCATTTATTGCTCCCAAAACATACTTCTTTCTCCACTGACAGAGGGGTAAGAATCGGCGTTGATTACCTACTTGTGTTCTGTTTGAAAGCAGAAGAGTGACCATGGATTTGATGTTTGGCAGGAAATGGAAGCCAAACTCTGGGAGGACAATTATCCCCTTACCTAGATTTAGATTTGACCTCTTGTCCTTTGGGCCAAGATCAAATACAGTGTTAAGCAGGGATTTTTTTTCCATTTTTCAGGACCTTTGGAAGCTCCCCAAGTTATTTTCGCCAGATCCAAACCCTTGCCCACACAATCTGGAGCCCTTGCTACAGTTGTAGGACAGAGAAAATCAAAGTCGGTGAAGTCAGGGCCAATTTAAGGTAACATTAAGAATAAGACCATATTTTTATCATTTTTACTTCCTGACTTTATGCCAGAGCAAGAGACGTAGAGGCTATCAAGAGAATTGACAGCTTCTCAAAATAAACCGTTACGCTGGGCTTTATAAAACCAAAGCTCAGAAGGAGTCTCTAAAACTGTGGGTCAAAGTTGAGCTACAAATAGCTTATGCCTATAATAGTCTACCAGTAGGTGGTGCTGTGGCAGTAAGAAATTTCTCTACTGTTTCTAGAGGCTTTTGTTTAAAAATATGAGTATTTTGAGACAAATCAAAGAAAGAAACTAAGGCCATAATTACCACAGGTAAATTGCAACAGAATATCTGAGAAAACATTTGAAGG